AGAGAGAGAGAGAGAGAGAGAGAGAAATTTCCTCCTCGTTGAACACGGGAAAATATGCGACCATTTATAGATCGTAATCATAGAAGTAATACATGTTGAGTTTCTTCCATTCCTCGTGTTCGTGGCCAGGAGATGGTGCCTGGAGATCCTTGATAACAGTGATGGAGGTAGACAAGGAAGGAGGAGGAGGTGGAGGAGAGGCGTGCGGAGGGCGGGGGGGCGGGGGCGAAAGGAAAGACAGGGGAGGGGGCAAGGAAGTAGGATATCCTGCTCGACGTTGACTGGAGAAAAGTGTCGTGACTGAGGCAGGTTGATGGGGGGGGGGGGGGACGCCGGTCTGCACCCCCGCGACGTCTCTCGGTGCAGGCTGGGGGTGACGGAGGCGAAGGTGGCGCAGACGAAGGCTGGCTGGCTGCTTCTCTCGCGTCCGCGTTTTGTCCCCTTTGTTTCGATCGGGGTGGGAGTGGGGGGGGATTTTCTGGGGCGGATCTCTTAGATTTAGGGATTTTTTCTGCATTTCAGAAGAATTTCATAAATTGTTGGACGGATCTCAGAGATTTTGGTAAGCATCTCATACATTTTAGGGGGCAAACCAAACCAAGTCTTTGTTTGTTTGTTTTAGAACATTTTTTATGTACAGATTTCAGGGGGATTTCAAAGATACTGATAATTCTCCTCTAAAGGGGCGTCGAGCGAGACAACGTCCGGGCCGCGCGTACGTAGTCGACCGAAGGCAGACGACGCTGACGGAGAAGGTCGTGTCACGCGGGCCTCCTTTGCGCCCCGGGAGAGACGGCGGCGCGGTGACCCAGTACACAGGCGAGAGATCAGAGGTCACGGGGAAAGAGGGATGGGGTGGAGGGGGAGGAAGAGAGAGGGGGGGGGGAACCCTACACTCTTCTCACCCTTAACCTTCTCCGGAACCCTTGTTGACGTACTTGCTACAGAATATTTGATATTTTTTATTCTTAGGCTAGTTTTTTATCCTTGTGTGACTTTTGTCATCTAGATTACACACATGAATCATCATTTTAACCATCAGAATGTCTCCGTTTTTTGCACCCTGAGATAGCAGTCGAGAGAAATTCAAAGATTAATCCTCTGGCTTTTATCGAGCGCGTTTTTACGTGATATTATACATTTGGAACTATTGTACGGCGTTTGTAGGTCTCTATTATGTCTTCATAATGGGAACTTTTTATTCGAAGTGTTATTGGATTTTCAATTTTGTTTTCGACTTACTCCCTGGTTGCCCAGCCGTTGCTTGCAACGATGACTTAAAAAAAGGTTTGTGATCCCCTTTCGAGACGTCTTAGGCTACCTACCTATCTATGGCGCCAGGTGAGGGGGACGAAAATGAACATTTTCAATCCTTCAAATGAAGGATTTTTCGTATGGATCGCTGCATTCACTTTGACACCTATGATGTAGCATGTCACACGGATTAACAGTAATGATCCGTTGCCGGCGACTTTTATGTTTATGCAATTCCTATTAGCGAACGCCCCCCCCCCTCCCACCTACGCCCTTCCCCTCCCGTCCGGGTACCCATCCCACACCCTTGCACGCCCACTCCCACCTCCATCCACCCTCTACCCCCCCTATCCATACCCCACCCCTGCCCGGCCACCCTGCCAATCAGCCTTTGAACCCCGCGCGACGAGCCGACAACAGCGGGTTCATTATCCATTGTGCTGACCAGCTGATGCTTCCTCGGGCGCTGCTTCGACGCCAGAAGGAGCTGTGTTGACTGCGCGCGCCTCGGCCCCTGCTTGCAAGGAGTCTGCTTGCGAGGAGGATTTCTCGAGGAGCGCTTCCGCCTTGGGCCTGGAGTCGAACGTGTGCGTGCGCGTGCGCGTGTGTGAACTGTCCCTGTCTTTGTCGTGGCTGAGCCTGGTACTTTGTGTGGTTTCTACCTGGTAGTGAGCAGGTGAGAGCCACACCCGCCCCTCTCCCCCACCCTTGCCCCTCCCCAACCCACCTCTCCGTTTATTCGCAATCCACCCCCTACCCCTCCTCCCCGCCCCACCCAACGTAACCCGGAAGCTGGCTGTTCTCGCCCCCCCCCCCCCCCCCCGCCCTTACCCTCCACGCGACCATACCAATAATACTAAATGCAATTACAGCGACGGACACCCCTCCCCTCCCCCTCCTCCTCCCTCCCTACCCCCATAGGACGGCCCTTGATGTCCATCCGCAGACATCTAGCCGGTCTATTAATATCGATAAACATGAGCCTAGTCGTCTAGTAGCAGTTCCTAGCAGCGGAGGGAACTTATAGCAGAAGGTTGTTTACGTCGCCTGGAGGCTTCCGAAGGCGCGGAGTCGGCGTGGGTTCTCGAGCGCGTGCGGTTTCTATTATATTTGTGATAGTTCTGTTTGATGAAGCCCCACGTTTAGAGCTGGCGGGCAGACGAAGCCTAGGTGAACAATACCCTGTTTTTGTTTTAGGGCTTCAGGGCGTGGGTGGGTGAGGGGGGGAGGGACGAAGGTGTAGAGCAGGGTGGGGGTGATGTGTGAGTGGGGGAAGCAAGGCAGGCAGGACACGAGGTTGTGTATGTGGTTGGAGGGTAGGGGATGGGGAGAGTGAGTGGTAGTAGTTCTACCAAGCGGACATTTCTGTTCGGTTTTACTTCGGTTGACTAAGGAAAATATATTTTTATTTCTGTGTTGGCTGCATCGTTATTTCTATTCTTGGTTCTCTGCAAAGGGGTTGTCAGGGGAATGGTTCTTGTGGGAGAGAGAGAGAGAGAGAGAGAGAGAGAGAGAGAGAGAGAGAGAGAGAGAGAGGGGGGAGAGGGAGAGAGAGAGAGGGGGGGGAGTTTTCACCGCGATATTCCACCGCATTTTTGACGACGGTGTTTCCAATTTGCAAATTTAAGGCCAGAACCATCTCTCTCTTTTATCTCCACAACTTCTCTGTCGTTCTTTCTGCATGTGAATGGTGAACGGCACTGGGTCGCGCTTACTACGATGAGTCACACGCCCAGGGAATTATGAGTAATGGAATGGGGAGGGAGAGGGAGGGAGAGGAAGGAAAGGAGAGAGAGAGAGAGAGAGAGAGAGAGAGAGAGAGAGAGAGAGAGAGAGAGAGAGAGAGAGAGAGAGAGAGAGAGAGAGAGAGAGGGGGGGGGGGAAGCAGACGAGTCAGTCAGCTGATCTTGCAAATGGGGAATAAAGCTCGCGAGGAAGGCGGCGGAGGCATTCGTGTTTATTTGCCATTGTTCGCGGCGTCGCTGTCTTGGCCTTCTCAAAAGAGGCGCCGGGAAAAAGGTGACAGACGAGGCGCTGGGGGGGAGGAATTGTTGCAAAGGGGATGGTAAAAATGGGTGGAGAGAGTGCTTGCAGGAAGAGAGGAGAGTGGGAAGGGGTGCTTTGGGAGGGGGTAGAAAAAGGGGATGGGGTGCCTGGGGAGGGAAGAGATAGGAAAGGATGGAGTGCTTGCGGGAAAGGCAGAGTGGGGGAGGGGGGAGAAGAGGAATGGGAAGTACATGGAAGGGAAAAGGAAGGGAAGACGGGAGAAATTTGGTGCATGGGGAAGGAGAACCGGCGATACAACAAAATGCGTAATAGGGTTGAAGAACGCACAAACTCCAAGTATTACGTAGTCATTTGTTGAATCGGTGGATTGTCCTGGGGGTCGCGGGCGGTGGGGGAGGAGAGGACAGGTAGTGGAGGGCCTGGGACGTGGTGGGGGGACATGGAACTCCCTTGAATAATTGAAGGCGCCCACGACACCTCTGTGGCGTGAGGATGGCAGGTGCCGCCTCCCGCGCGCTGTTTTGTTGTCCTGCGTGGTGTTTGTGTTTGTTTTAGGTGCAGTTGTTTGGTTGTTTGTTTGTATCCCTTTGCTAATTGTGTCGGTATGCTCTTGCCGCTTTTAATGAGCAAGTTCAGGCGGTCGTGAGAATGAATGTGTTTGGCCCTCCTGCTTTGTGAAGAAAGAGAGAGGCAGAGAGAAGTGAAGGAGGGGTAGAAAAGAGAAAACGGTTGGGGAGAGAGAGAGAGAGAGAGAGAGAGAGAGAGAGAGAGAGAGAGAGAGAGAGAGAGAGAGAGAGAGAGAGGAGAGAGAGGAGAGGGGGGGGCAGGCAGAATATGTTTACGCAGAGGAGAGGACCTGTTCCCAGCAGCGTCACCGCCAGTTTTATGCCCCGTAAATGTCATGTTTGTTCCGCGTCCTGGAACTTGCCGTTGTTTCCCCCGCGATAAGGCCCTGGGTGAAAGCGAGCGAAGAAGGGAGGCGACGTAAGCGACATTCCGCTAAACTTTGGTAAATGATGCTTTGGTTGATTTAGGTGCTAGCCTGTCCCTTGATATGCTATATTTAAACATTCTAGTCTGTTTTTCTGTCTTCCTTTCCCTTTCCCATTATATTATATCACACACTCACATTTATACACATTATCAGCAAATACTACCAGGATAAGCCGAGAGAGACAAAAAAGCGTACATAGAGATAAGTTAACAGGAACCGTGGAGATAAGTCCGCATCTAATGGAGCGGAAGTCCTGTTCGCGGGAGCCTCTCGCGGGCCGCCAGAAGGTGCCAGCCGCGGCGGGTGCTGTGCGCTGCCAATAATCCTTAGCTTCCCCCACATCGGCTCTCCCTCCTTCCTTCCTTAAATGTTTATATGTTCGTGTTTTTTTTTCACTTATTTATAATTGACTCTTAGTATAAGAGTGCAATTGCGTGCAATACGAAGGCGCCATGATAAAGTTTCCGTGCTTGATTCTGTGCGAGGTGCAGGAGGATGGGTTGAAGGAGGCAAGAGGAGGGGAGAGGAGGAGGGCGAGTCTGCCGAAGGAGGAGCTGGCTCGGTCCTGCCCGATCTTGCCCAGCCATCGCTCGGTATACAGGGATTGATTTTATTTTATTGTTTACTGCTTAATTACTCACCATTTTTTTTTTACAGAAATGCCATGCATAGTGATGTTTGTGTTTATTCATTGTAGGTGTGAGAGTGAATTGTGTATTAATTTTTCGTCCTCCTTGCGTTGCAGATTGACTACCCGGACGTGCAGCTGATGCGTCCCGGCCAGCGGGCGTCGTGCAACACCATGAACTTGGAGAAATTGATGGCACTCGAGCAAGACGAGATTACCATCAGACCAGGGGGTCGTGGTGCCCCTCCCCCTCCCCCCACCCACCCACGCCACCACCAGTACGAGAACGACCACGCCCACCACCACCATCACCCCCAGCACCACCACCACCACCACGACCCTTACCTGCCGGACCTCGTGGGCAGCGCCATCCTGCGAGGCGCCCGCAGCAGAGGCAGCGTCGGCTCGTCGGTCAGGGATGGCTCGGATACCTCCAGTGCCTACTCGGGATCCGACACCATGTGCCACTCGCTGCAGTCCTCGCTCGAGCCCGACGACGTCGACCTGTCAGGCCTCACCGAGAGCGCCGTCGACTCCGACGAGGAGGACTTGGCCGAGAGCATCGAGGTGAGTTGCCAGATTTGCACTTTCGCTTTGCTTTAGTTTTCTCCTCATATACCCTTTCCTACACGTGTCACGTTATCTCGCTTTGACAGGAAACTAGAGCGTTTACACGTTTTAAACTAGAGCAAACGCTCTTGTCATAACGATTTTTCCCCGCCTTCGAACGTGTTTTTGCCATGTTGCGCTGTTCCAGAATCGTTATTCTATACGTATTTACACCACTTTTGTCCCCTGCTGCAGAGCCTGGCGGTGCGAGACGCGGTCCGGGAGTGCCTGGAGAAGGACCCGAGCGAACGGACCGAGGACGACATCGACGTCTTGCTCGAGTTCACACAGCGTCTGCGAGCCTTCTCCAACATGACCTTGGCCGTGAGAAGAGCTATGTGTCAAGCCATGGTACGTCGTTGTCGTGTTTGTGTTTTGCTTTCACCTTACCCTCTCTCAAGGAAAGTGGTGCCAGTTGGTACTAGAAGGACTCACGAGCGAGAGACATTTTGACTGTATTTTAATTTATATTGCTTTTATTTTTAGCTTCTTACTGATATTTATTTATTCCCTAATTTCTATCAAGCTCACACCTGTCTACATTTTGTCATACTTTTTTCTCTGATTTGACTAATTATGTTATCTCGTTTCTGCATTTTCTTTTTTATTCTTGATGAAGGCTGAGGTGCCGCTGACAAGGTTATTGTATTTACAACGTTATTTTAGGTATTTGCTGTAGTAGAAGAGGCCGGCACAACCCTCATGAACCATGGGGAAGAACTGGATTCATGGAGTGTCATCATCAATGGACATGTGGAGGTCACACAACCAGACGGTTCCGTGCATGAGCTTCACCTTGGAGACAGGTAATTATCAGTATTGTATTTGGAGTCAGATTCGTATACGAGTCTTACGAGCCAATTCTGAGAATGTTCATTCTCCAAAGCTTAAAGCTTCCAGGCCTCCAGATGGGTGCATGATGTCAGGTTCAGATTAGCTGGCTAGTTATAGGGAGGAGGACGGAATGACGAGATATTCCGTAGATGAGTTTTGCATGGCATGATTTCTCTTTGCAGTCTTCCCAAGAGACAAAATGTGATGACCAAAAACTCCTCCTCTTCCGCCAGCTTCGGCATCACGCCCACAATGGAGAAGCTCTACCACCAGGGGGTCATGCGCTCCAAGGTGGACGATTGCCAGTTCGTGTGCATCCGGCAGACAGACTACTACCGCATCTTGCACCAGGGGGAGGAGAACACACGACGCCACGAGGAGGACGGCGTTCTGGTCCTTGTGACAGAACAGAGGCCCATCGACGCAGGCAACAGAAGGGGAAATATTGTGATCAAGGTACTTTTTTTCTTTCTTTCTTTCTTTCTTTTTTGAGGGAGTAGTAGTTAATGTCAGATCAAGTGAAGAATTCTGAATTGCATATTATTAGATGTAATTCTATGTGGTACATAGATTTAGGTTTGACCCTAAAGGTGTGAATAAATCTAAACGTTATAAGATTTCATAAATCAAACTATTTAAAGTAGATATAGAAAAATTAAGGATTACTGATTTGTTTGAATGGAGGATTTCTTTCTTTTCAGTTTAAAAGTGATAAAGAATTGCTTGCAAATCATTTGTAATATGATTAATAGTTATTAGTCTTTCAGGTAGAACAAGTAATCAGACCTTTATTCATTGATGATGGATAGAAATATAAGTGAATGCTTTAGATTTAAGAGAAATGATTGCCAGTTTAAGAAACTGTACATATTTTACCAATATGTAGGTATTCAACAGATATGAATAAGAATGCAGTTAAAACACATTATACACTTTTTCCTTTTTTCTTCTATTGATGATAATAGTACTAGATTCCCTAATTAGAAGATACACATAAAAAACTGTAAGTAATCAAAAGTATCTTGCCAGGTCCCTCCAAATATCCCTTGAAAAAGGACCATAATGTCCCTATGCAAAGTCTGTGCAAAGTTTGACTGTGGAGTGTTTTGTGTCATGAACTATACCTGACCAAATCTTGTCCATAACCAGCCATTTCCCATCCCTCAGTAAGGAAGAGTGCACGGACACCAAGAGCTGTAGACCTTCCACTTGTGAGGTTGAAGCGTTCAATTTACCTCTTCAAGTGGATGTTTTTGATGGTCATTGTGCGATCACTTGGTTTGAGATTTTGAAATGAATGAGATTAAATGTAAAATGTAAAAAATAGGAAGAGTATCTTTTCAGAATGTCAGAGTTAGTATTAATGTACCTCTAATAACTTAAGAATAGGAATATTTGATTAGAAATTAAAAGCTAACATCAAGCATACACTAGTTGTTACATAATGAAAGTTTGACAAGACGAATTAAATCCATAAGTTATTTATAGGAAAGCCATTAAATATTCTATACTCATACAAATGAATGTAAGAATGACATGAAAAAAAAATCACTTATAACCTTTGATTTTAGAAAAATTAATATGGTTTACCATCAAGAATTAGGTGTTCCTTAGAATGCAAACTGAGCATACAATTATTTCCTCAGGGAACCGCAGAAAGGCTCATGTCCCAGCTGGTGGAGGTAGAGAACAATGTGGATCCAACCTATGTGGAGGACTTCTTACTCACACACAGAACCTTTATTGACAATCCACTCCAAGTGGCAAACAAATTATTAGAATGGTAATATATTTTGTATAAACTTTCAACTTTGATTAATGTCTATTTGAGAAAGTTGGCATACATGATTAGTAGTGATTATTAAGAAATGATGATTTGATTTCTGCAGTTCATTTTAACTAAAGTAATAGCATGTAAATTCTTTGTTGTACATTATTTAATGCTTGAGCAGGGTAGCTCATACTGAATGTAATTATACTCATTTGGAATGTCCCCAGTTGCAAAAAAAAAAAATAAATAACATTTTCTCAATAGGTTTGAAGACCCCTCTCTAAGAGACAGAGTGACACGAGTGGTGTTGCTCTGGGTAAACAACCACTTCACAGACTTTGAAATGGATCCAGTCATGATGAATTTCCTAGAGCAGTTTGAGGAAGGACTTGAAAGAGAGAAGATGGCAGGACAGCTCAGGCTGCTTGACTTTGCTTGTGCCACAAAGGCCAGGGCTAGGACTGTGACTCTCACACGGCCTTCCAGGGATGAAATCCTCCACTTCTCTATCCTGGGAGGATATGAGCGAGGATTTGGAATCTTTATATCGAAGGTATGTAGAAGATATTGGACAGTGCCCACATTGGTTTTTGTATGGTGCAAATTAGCATGTAGTTTTGTTTTTAATTTGTATTTGATAATAGCCTTTGTTTGAATATTGAGTTACATAATCAGATCACATTTTAATGTACTGTTAGTGATAAGCCATTTACACATTGTATTGAGGATTTGACTGATAATGCTACTTTACCAAATAGGTGGAGAAAGGAAGCAAGGCTGAGGAGGTTGGCTTGAAGCGTGGAGATCAGATACTAGAAGTCAATGGCCAAAGCTTCGACCACATGAATCATGGGCGAGCCCTCGAGATTCTTCGTCAGACATGTCACCTGTCAATCACTGTTAAGAGTAACTTGTTAGGTAATTATTCCATTTGTTTTTAATATACTTTTTTTTTTTCTCACACAGCAGAAAAGTGGAATTGTATTTATCCTTTGAATGGAATAGAAATTGATAATCTTCCCTCACTGCAGCATTCAAGGAGATGCTCCAGACTCCTGACAATTCCCCAAGACAACGCCCGAGAAAGCCATCTGACCCACGAGGCCTTAATGACGGCAACTTGCCCCTCAATCCCAACTTTGCATCCACCATGAATATCCCAAGTGACCACACTCAGCAGTCTCCCAGGGACAAGGGCAAGGACAACAATAACAAGACCTCCTTCATGACAATGAGCGGCACCAAAGCCAACAGATTCAGGAAGGTCAAGAATCTGCTGAAGCCAAAGACTAACACACAGTAAGTTCATAAAGGTGTTTAGGTTGTAACTTGTGTTATTTATGTGTAATATATATATATATCTAATCTTTTTCTAATTTTATAGGTTTTCATAGTTCAATATTTTCATTATTACAATTAATATTATATATTTTTTTTTTCATGATTATCTTTTTTTAGTTTTCCTAATTTTATTGGGATTACTGTGAATACAGTAGATATACTCTTAAGTCATTTTAGAATTGATAATTATAAAAAGTGTTCAATGCCATTGAAAGTGTTTTGGAAATGACAATGCATGAACTGTGTTGCAGAGAGTCACAAATAAACAGCGATGAAAGCGTGTCATCCCAATCAAGTGTGGGTGGTGGACTCTACCACAGTCACAGCAACCCAGATCTGAGCACGACTGGAGCCTATGAAGATGTCAGAACAGAGTTTCCGGAGCATGTATTGAAGGTAAGTATTTTAACCAGAGTTATCAAACTTTCCTCTTAACAGTTAAGAATTTCTTTGAGTGTCATATATTCAGAATGATTAGTAATACTTGCTCTTGTTATCCTAGGTTTATCGAGCAACTGACCAAGCTGCGAGATTCCTACCAGTCCACAAGGAGACCACAGCTCGTGAGGTGGTGATGCTCGCTCTGCAGATCTTCAACATCAATGACCCTTCAGGTTCCTCCAACTATGCACTGTATGAAGTCTCAGTCACAGAAGAAGGCCTCACAAAGCAAAAGAGATTACCAGACTCGCTGCAAAACTTGGCAGAGAGAATAGGTATGGCATAAGTAATGAAATATTTTTCCTATTGCTTTGTCCATGAATATTTTTTAATAGATTGTTATTATTAACAGAAGAATTTGATGGATGTACTTATAAGGTTATTAATGTTATTTTGGTTTCATTTTTTTGTTTTCTATTTTAGGATTAAGTAGTCGATACTACTTGAAGAACATCACAGTGTCACAGACTTTGGTCCCAGATGAAAATGTGAATGAGCTGGTCAGGGAGTCTACAGTTTACTTCTTACAGCTTAACTCGGTTGAGTTGGCTATTCAGCTTACTCTTGAGGACTATACAATATTCAGGCAAATTGAACCTACTGAATATATTGATTATCTCTTCCACCTCAACTCCAGATATGGAACTCCGGCTCTGTCACAATTTGCTGAGGTATGCAAATTTGTGTATTGGAGATTATTTAAATTACATTTATATTTTTAGTGTTTTTTTTACAAATTATGGACAGTACTTGTATTTAGATATGAAAACAAATCCCAATAAGTCCACTCATGGGATATGGGTATAGTAATTGCCTTTTTTTTTTTACCAGGTTTTATATTTCTAATATTTTACCTTGAATGTGTTAACAGGCATTAATTCAAATTCTTCTTTAATTACAAATAATCTTTCTCCCTCTAGCTTGTAAATCGTGAAATGTTCTGGGTGGTCACAGAAGTCTGCTCAGAGCATAATCTAGTCAAGCGATCCAAAATCATCAAGCAGTTTATTAAAGTTGCCCGTAAGATCTACTGTCATTGGTCACAGAGCTGGGTAAAATGTTGAATAATGACATTGTTGCTTGGGATATTTTATTCATGTGCAGAATCAGAAAGTATATATCTAGATTAAAATTCCCTCTTTTCCTGACAGGACAATGTAAGGAATGTAAGAATTTCAACTCCATGTTTGCCATATTGTCTGGTCTGGGGCACGGAACAGTTTCAAGGCTAAAGCAGACCTGGGAGCGCTTGCCTTCCAAGTACCAGCGCATGTTCCATGACATGCAGGATCTCATGGATCCTTCTAGAAACATGAGCAAGTACCGCAACCTGGTCCAAAGCGAGAACATCCAGTCACCCATTGTAAGGACTAAGACCTTTGTTTTACTTTCCCTGGATGTTTTTATTTCTCTAGTTATAGTTTATTTATTACTCCTACTACATTTTTTGGATTTGACAAGTAGTTTTTTTCAAGTGATTTTTGTATTTCTAAATTTCAATAATAATTGTTAGTTCTCAAAAGTCTGCTTGTGTCTTTTTCACAGATTCCATTCTATCCAGTGGTTGCCCGCGACTTGACATTCACTCATGAGGGTAATGATGACAAGGTTGAAGGACTCATCAACTTTGAGAAGCTCCGCATGATTTCACGTTACATCCGTGACCTCCAGAACATGTGCTCAGCCCCTTACGTAAGTCGCACAAATGTGTAAATAGTGTAATTTAGTTGATATCAAACATTATATTTTTTGGCAATATAATTTTGAATAAGCATGAAATAATATATATCTTTACTGGTTTATGGCCATCTGATAAGTGACATTCTTATTATTCATGTATTTTTGTTTCAGGATCTGTTCAACATGCAGGATGCTGGAGGTCAACCCCCAAGTGCTGCACTCATAACACTCAACCAAATGGGAGCTCAGATTGCAACAGTGAAGAGAAGGAAGAAGTCCACTGCTGCACCTGATAAGAAAAAGATGTATGAAGAGGTAGGTTCCCTTTTTTCTCCTAGTGTGTGTAAGGTATGTTTGTTTATTCTCAGCTTGTACTGAAACTTTATAAGGTAAATGAAAATGAATGCATTAATGTTAATTATTCATTTTTTGTTCTCATAACAGGCTCAAATGGTCCGGAGGGTGAAAGCATACTTGTCTCGGTTGCAAGTGATTACAGACGAGGAGCAGCTTCGCAACATGTCCTTGGAGTGTGAAGCAGGTCCGGAGGGGCATAAACCTGCAGGAGGGCACAGCAACAGTAGCAGCAGTGGGTCCAGTAGCGCCCCACCCACCAACCCTCCTCCAAGACGGCGCCCCCACTCACCAACACCTTCCACAACTTCATCAACTTCATCAACGTCACAAACCTCGGATGGGAAGAAGCACACTGCGAAATTCGGTAAATGGCTTGTCTCTCATTCATTCCCTTGTTTTCTCTATTTTTTTTCTTTATGTTCATTTTCATTTTATTTTATTAACTTATCATTATTAATACATTGATTATACTAAGGTGTCTAATAAAAAATCATGCTTAGCTTCTGGCTTAAATGATACTAAATTGAATTTTAATTTTTACATGATTGCTTAACACTTTCTAGCTGTCCATTTTGTTGCTTACTTTTCTTTGAGCACCTCTCCCCATATTGCAGGAGCCACATCTCCCCAGTCCATAAGCAAGATGAAGGCCCTGGCCGAGCCCAAGACGAAGCCTCATCACGGCCCACGCTCCACCACCACCCACCATTCACTCTCCCCTTCCCCCTCCCCTGGCCCTCCTCGTAGGGGAGCCATCAACAACCATACCTCTCGCTCTACCCATGAGCGGTCCCACTCTGACACCCATGCTGTTCCTGTGGACCTTAGCGCAGAGTCTTCCTCTGTTACCTCCCTGTCCAAACTCCACAAATCCCACACCTCAGGTATGCTGCTAGAACCAGCACCCTCCCTTTATGGCACTCAACATAACAGCACCACTACACCTGCATCTGTTTCTTTCTCCCTTTCTTTTGTGCATGCTGCTGCCTGTTCTGCTCTCATAGCATCTGTCCGTAAATTCTCTACCACCAGCAATAACATCCTTGGAACCAAACCCTCTTCCAGGTCCTCAACGCCCATTACCATCAACCCCCTTCGAATTAAGCATATTCAAAGGGAAAAAAAAAAGGCTGCATTCAAATCCCAAAAATTCAGTACCAGTTTTGATAGCAGTTACAGCTCATACAAAACAGAAAGTCCAAGGAATCCAACTTCATTTGGAGCCAGTGCAAGTCTCAGTCCAGCACCTGTAACTACTAGAATGAAATTAAAGTCAATGCAAAGAGACAATACATTTTCTAGGAGCTTACCAACACCTGCTCACAGCCCCAAAAGAGTGGATGCCTACTCCTTCTCCAAGGATGCTTCCAAGTGTCAGACATCCACTCCCAAAAAAGGAACTCCTGTCAGGGGAAGTCAGAGAGGGACTGTTGGTCTACGCAAGTACGGAGAGTCTTTCTCATACAGTGTGTCTACAAAAGATGAGAAGCAGGAAGTTGCTTTAGCACCTATAAATAAAGCAACATCATTCAATAAAAATAAAATTACCCATACAGAAAATCTTTCATCAACACAGAAAGACATCTTAGATTTGAGTGAGACTGCTGTAGTTAACCATGATTCAGTAAGCAAGGCCTCTGTTTTATCTCCTAGTAAAATTGGGCATCTGCAGAAGCAGAAACAGGGGAACTGTAGTAGTATTACAATCTTTCAGAAAATTTTTAGAAGTAAAAGTGAAGATATACTAGATGCCAAGAAAAGTCCAGCAAAAAAGACTAATACCAAGAAAAATATTGTGGATGAGGTATTAACTTCTCCATTACTTAGTCCACTGATTTTTAGAAGAAGTCGGAGTGAAGATTTTCTTAATAAGGTTATTGATAGACCAGAAGTTAAGAAGTATTCTGTCAAGGATTCGAAATGTTTAAATACTAAAGAAATAACATCGGGAAAAGTGAAAAGGCCCAGAATTTCTAAACCACTCAGAACATTTTTACCAACAGATCCACCTTCAATTGGTGAGACTCTGAAAAATAAAATAAAAATGAGCAAAATTCACAGTTTTAATGAAGATGATGCATGTGTGCCATCACGTTTCTTTTTAGAGAAGAGCTTGTCTGATGAGTCAGGGAAAGAAACTACAGAGAAGCGTTACCCAACTTTACAAAGACCGGCAAGTAATAAAGAGACATATTTCCCAGCATCAGTGAAATCCAGTAAACATTTAAGAAGGAATGAACCCATGAGAGTTTACAGGGTCAATCAACCAAAAGATGTACGTGATAATTCTTTGATTGAAAACTGTGACATTCACTATACGCAAAGAGGAACCAAAGAAGATACTGAACAAACTAATGTGAAAAGCATTGATCCTAACAAAGGTTTCAATCCGCATATTCCTCATCCATCCATACATTCACAGACCTTCTCAAAAAAGTCGCCTTGGTTTGAGAAATTCCAAAAGTCGAGAGTGGAGGTACTAAAACGAAAAGAAGAGGGAAATGAAAATGATGAGTTAAATGATTCCTTTGGATCTTCAGTTCATAGTAGCGGCTCTGATGACTCGATTCATGAAGGTTACCCAAAGCCTTTGGAAATGTCACAGAAGTCAGTTCTAAATACAACATACCCACAATCCAAGTATGTTCTTACTCGCTACAGAGGCCAACCTGATGTCCGAAGAAGAGTTGCAGAAAAGCTCAATGCTGTTATTCGGGAACTGGAAGAAGAAATGCGTATGATTCATCCAGGCCCAACTTATCCTTCAGATGAAGAAAATCTTTATTGGAACGATCCCATTACAAATCCATATAGTACTTTGCCATTGCCTACAGATACAGGGATTCACAGACCCACTAGCCTCCCTCTTCGTAAATATGCTGTCCATAGGAGAAACAGCGCACCTATGCTGTCTCCAATAGAAGAAGTTAAAGTGTCTCCAACATCTGCAGATCTCGAGAGTATGACAATATTGCAGAGATCTTTAGCCAAATGTTCATCATTTAATGGTGATAAGCTAAGAAGAAATAATATCCCATCTTATCCCCAAACTAAAGGCAATCCAAAAGGAATGAAACTTGAGATAGAAGAACCTCGTCTAAGTCAGAAAGGCTCCTTTAAGGCACAGGATCCAAAGCACCAAGACAGGTCAGCTTTGATTCTGCCTCCAAGTGAAACACAACCTAGCAGTCTCGTTAACCCAGACCCAACTTCCTATTGCAATCAGTATGGGTCCGAAAATGATGTGGACTATGTTTGATATTAATCCTGTTCCTACATGAAAGAGTGCATCTACAGTGGTCTAATATTATTACTACTGTCATCATATGTAGCAAAGAAAAAGAAAATAAAGAAACCCAGCTCTCCTTTTCCCCTTCTTTGTCTTTGTATTTTCACTGTCTTAGTTTACAATCCTTAAACTCTCTTGCATGGACCCTCTATGGAGAACTTCAGTGTCTGCATGAGCTCTCCACTGTCCTATGTTCACTGATATGGGTAAATGTTCCTGATTTTACAAAGTACTTTTCCTCCTTTATAGCTTTTCTTTCTTCATAACATTTACATGTTTATATATTTTGTTTATCTGGTTGTTTTAGTTTATAGGTAAGAGGGATGAAACCTCATAATTTTTGTATTATTGTTTTAAAATAATTTCCATGATAGGTAAGGTGCATCAAGAGTGAATATTTCTAATTGTGTAAAATGTATCTGAATTTCCTTATATTATTGCAAATTTCAGTATTCTAATTTTCTGAATTGGAAGGAGAGAAAATTCTTCCTGTTCAGCCATATGATGTAAATAGAAGGACAGTTGAAGGGAAGCTGTTACAGGAAGTCATTCTTCACATTTTAGATATTGCACCCATCTACCATAACCAAATATCTATAGATTTTCCTCTTTTATTAACATCAGGCTCAGTGACATCAACCGACTGTCAGGTGGGACCTGGGGAGTCTGATTCTGGCATCTCTACCCATTTTGACTGTCACTCCTCCTCCTCGCTGGAAGTTGGGGGAGTTTCCGGATACGAGTGTCACTATCACTCCTCACCTCCAGCCCACCACCGACGCTACTCACATCAACCAGGTTTGTGAAGGTTTTTGGAGTGTGTGTTGGCAAAGTACTGCTTGGCAATGCATCAGCAGTCACTTGTGTGTGGAAATGAATGTTCAATGGAGGTATTGATAGTAAAGTGAGAATTGATTTCACCTTAAACAGGGCGGATAATAGTTCCCACAGCACTGGTTAGCACTCGGGTAAACTGTGTCGGTCTTAGTATTCCATACAAAAGTACAATAGTCATAGTCACATATGTGTAAGTGTATCAATAAAATACATATTAAATTAATATACTAAATAGACTTAATATATGTTACTCCACTGATTTAGCCCTGATTTAGACAGCTTGCACACATTAAATGATTGTCTTATTGTAATGTACTGCATCTTTGAGAACTTTAAAATACGTGTTAAATGAGACTTGTATGAACCCACTTTCGAAGGTAATAATAATAATAACCATCCAGATACCTTTTATTTATAAACATGGCACTTAATAGTACTTATTATTATTGTTACCTCTGGAAAAACAAAACAAAATCACGTATTGGTGGTGTGTGGTGATTCTCTTGCCTTGCCTACATCAATATTGCGGCACCACAGCTTGCCTTGACTTGCCTTCTTGCCTTCCTGCCATGTGCACCACAGAATCACGGTCGCGTCCTCCCTTTCCGCATGCAGTAGCTGTGCTGCCACCTATTCCTGCAGCAGGTGAGTCATACCTTTCTCTGACCCCTTCTTGGTCGAGAGAGACTCGTACACTTTCAGTACGTATAACATTGGTGGTGTGGACATTAGTAGAAGTTGTGTGTGTTGGCTAGAGGTGTTTAGAAGAATGTGGGGACCTTGTATTCTTCTTCTGATTCTGTCCTGTTCTTCCCTGCTTTTCTCTTCTAGAATTTTAATTAGGATGCATTTTTGACAAGGCATTTTGTCTTCTTGTTCCTACATATATTGTTCTTCATTAATTGTAGAATTATTTGCAGACTATGTCTATTATGGAACTAATTCATCTGTTCTATAAGTTGCTTTTCTCTCTTTCTTTAACTGTATTTTGAAGTATATTTGCTTGATATTTATAGGAATTAATTCATATATTGCACATTTACAATATCCTTGCCTTAAAAATAATTTTTGAAGTATTTTACATCAAACTTGTCAAAGTCCAATAGTTCTCAATCTGAATTTCAGAAAGTATCCAGAGTCATAAAGCTTTTACACAGTTATAACTGATTACTATTTCTTATAGAATAAAACACCACATTTACAATTATTTTATTGTTTGCTAGTCAGGCTAAAAGTCAAATTCCATTTATAACATTTGTTGTCTTACAGCAGGAATGGGTAGTGGACGACGACGCGGAGCTCCGGGGCATCCCCCTGACTACGCAGAAACTCAGATGAGGATGAAACAAATGGGCCGAGCCCTTTCCCATGATGGTGTGCAATATTACCGGCAGACACACCTTGATGGTACGTTTTGACTCAAGTCATTTTATATATATATATATATATATATATATATATATATATATATATATATATATATATATATATATATATATATATATATATATATACATACATATATATACATACACACACACACATCTAGATGTTGATCATTGACTTGGTTCAGCTTCACTATAAATCATTAGTATATCGATATTATTAGTTGACTCAAAAAAAAAATATATATATATATTGACATAAATCATATAATAAATAGATTTTGTTTTATATAAAAATGTTCTATAAACTGCATTCTTTTCTAAGTACTTGTATCTGCATATTCATCCTTAGGCATTTTCAGATGAAGAGGAAGATGCCCAAGTCTCTGCAGTATGAAGGTTGACACAACCATCTGTGATGAGACGAACATGAGAGGTCCTGGACAGATTCTACCTCCTCTTCAGGAAGACATTTGGGACTTCCTATACAACAAGACCAAGCCATTGGAGTTTCCGGTTGTTATGTGTATACCCTTACCTAGAATGCATAGCAGTTAGTTGATGGGGGTGTGCAGGACAACTGTTTGATTATCCTTTGCTTATCTTGTGATAATAAAAGTTAAGAGTTCAGAAGCCAAAGATAGATGGATTCCTATGGCCATGAGAGTAGGCATTAAAATCTTTGTATGTTTGTTCTACTCTTTGATGTATGACTTATAAAGACTGCTAGGCAACTGATGACTTGCTCATGAGTCCTGTAAGAAAACAGTATCCCTTTAATATATAGAATGAACAGATATTGTGTTTCCTTACCAGAAAATATGAACACAGTTTCTTTGAGGGAGGAGATATAATGCCTTTATGACATGTCAGCTCTCAGGCCTTAGGGTACTTTTGGGGCACAGCTTCATTAAGATTTTTATGGATGTAACACATTATAAATACATGTAGATCATGCCTATATGTGGATGTCCTTGTATATAATTATATAGATAGATATATTCATGTCCATATGATAGCCAATAAGCATAATGTGTAGATGTATGTAATGCAGTCAACAATTGTGAGACTTACTCAGAGCTTCAGTATGAAAAAATTTTAACTTTGTAAATAGGAAATTTAAACATATGGAAGCTTCATGTAAGACTCAGGGATTGGTGGCTCAAAGAATATCATTGGTGGATGTACTGTTCCACCTCCTGTTGTCTGTCCCTCATTTTGATGAAGCCAGCCAGCCATATTGTCGTCCAAGTCCAACCTAGCCCAGGGAACCACTGATGATGTTAGCTAGCGTGTGCGACTGTGCCCACATGTAGTAGATGTGGGCTTATTATCTTGTTATCTCTTTATTTATTTGTAAATTGGCTAAACAACATTTTTGGAGATAGAGATCGATGAGGTCAGCAGTTTCAAAACTTCCCTGATGAAGGTCTGAGATGTAGATGAAACATATTTTCAGAGCTCGGTGATGTAATGATAAGTTTGTTTCTTTTTTCTTACAGAAAATTTGCATTGTCAAAGGATATTAAGATATTTATCCCCTCCTCATATTCATAATTCCCTTATGTAAGAAATATTTGTTCCTCATTTGAGGAATTATTTGATTATTATTTGATTGTTATAAAATCCTGCATTTCATGAATGTTATCTGTAATAGCTATTAATATCCCAGTTTTCCACCCTTATGTCTAAAGAGACATCAGAATATTCAGTGTAATGTAATTTTGTTGTACTTTTTTGTAAACTGATAATGAGTCATGTCGTTTCTGTGTAAACTATATGCCTGAAATCTCATTGTCCAATATTGGATATTTTCACAAGTTATTTTCTCGACATGCAAATACGTAGATACTCTTGATATAACTTCCAAACCCCATGGCCCTTTCTGGAGGCCTGGCGGTGATATGTACAAATAAATACACTTCACTTTGTAAAGATGTGGCTTTCATTTTTACCTTATAATTGGTTTTACATGATGCATTAGCTATACTGGAAAATCTTTTTTTCATAAAGTATCCTGATATATAGAGGCATTCCAAATGTGATAATACAGCTGATATAAAACTTCTTATTAAATACATATTAACTTGTTGATGGCAAAAATTGTGAGAATTTAATTAGGAAGTCATAAAGAAATGTGTACATAAACCACTGTATGCCATTAGCAATTAAACCGATTTGAGAAAAATACTAAATTATAATTTGAGAAAAATGTATATATAGTTTTAGATCTAATGAAAACAAGCTCTTTTCTGGAAATTATTTCATCTGAATTCTTAACCCATTTACGATGGGTGTCCCACATATGAGATGCCTGGAAAAATAAACATTACTGGGTCACTCGTGGGTTAATCATCTGTATGCAACCTATTAATCACCAAGGTTCCTGTATATTGCTGAAATTACTATTTTGCTTTTACTTACAAAACTACATTCTGCAATAGTACATTTTACTACTAAAATACTACAGTGCAGTACTACAATATAATACATTATTACAGAACAGTGCTATAGCATAATACATTACAGAACAGTATTATAGTATAATGTAATATTACAGTACAGTGCAATAATGTAACAATACAGTAGTACAGACCAATCTAGCCAATATCTGTCAACCATCCTTTCAAAGACGAAAGCTAACAAATAAAAAAGTGATCACTGTAGTGAGAAAATAGATAACAAAAGATAAGCTGAACATTAACATCAAGTTCTTCACCTGGGCTACTTACAATATTTGTTGCATAAATACATACATCTTTTTTGTGACTATGATATAATGCTAAGGTTATTCTGATAACCACTGTAGATTACCTTCAGTAACAAAAGCATATTAAAAAATATCAAAGGATTATTCCAATATCTAAGACCTTTAAAGATAACAAGCTGAATTTAATTCCCTTGCAATATAAGAAGCATATAATGCAATAAGGTATTACTTTCTGTTCTAAAAGGAAGAAATATATTAGGGTTTCTATTCCATAAAAAAAATTCTTAAAACTCTCCATGAAATAGTTACAATATAAATTTTTGTTAATAAAAGTCAATACAACAGAATATTAACAAAATTTTATTTATATCAACATACTTCTAAAAATATTTCCTATTTACATAAACATTGTTTCACAATATTTAGTTTTATCCTCAGATGTCTTTTTTAACTTAACACTTAAAATGCTGGAGAATACTTTTCAGCATTTGTAAGTTACCAGTTGAATATCACCAACCCATGGAGAAATTATCCTCAAAATTCATGTGCATTTTGATGAAATTTTCCTCAACTTTCCATTTTTCTTCCAAGATCAGATACTTCATAGTCAGGGTTCAGATCTTGATTTCTCTCTGCTGTCTTTGGAGGTTGTTCGTTTCTTGCTTTTAAATTACCAATGTTTTCTGTCTTAGCTTCTTTGGCAGGTGCAATAAAAAATTTAATGTCTCCAGCCTTAACACGTCGCTGCAGAATGCGGCCTCCAAAACCCACTACATTTGCTTCAATGGTATTGTAAATAGTCTCCTATAGAATGGCAAGAAGAATTTAAAATAAATCAACAAGATAGACAAAAATCAAACTTATAAATAACAGAATTTTCAAAGTGATGCTTATGAAGAGAGAGAATTTAAGTCTGAAAATTCAAATATTCTATTAGAGCCAAATTAGATTTTCCTATAATCTAAATCTAGGAACTCGTAGTTTATGCACATCAAATATGAAACAAAGATCAATATCTATGATACGTAATGGAGACAAACATCTAAATTCATTAGTTTGTGATTGCCTTGTTTGGCGTTTCTAAAATCATGAAAATTTCTAATTTCTGAAGAAATAAATTGGAAACATCTCTAGTACCATTTGTATAATTTATCTACCTTGAAAATGATATATCATAACAATATATAAATGAATAAAGACATTGATAAATAAACTGATAAATAAATAAGTAAACTGATACATAATAGTAGTATTACAAACATTAAATCATTCAGTATCTATCAAACTTTCATATGGTGCAGATATTCCTTATGTTTGCTTACATTTCCTTCATAAAAAAATATAAATAACTCCAAACATGATAAAATGGTAACTTTCACCACAATGGCAAGCAAATACAGTGAATGGAAACCTGAACAAAAATAAGTAATTAGGTATGACTGCACTTGTCTAAATGAAAGCAGTGTCATATCCAAACATTCTGTTTGCATAAAGCTTCAATGCTGATATGAAACTGAGATTATGATTATTATAACGTTATTAAAATACTAATAGCAATAAAATATATATTCTGAAAATCAAATAAAAGGGTAAATAGGTGACTGGTGACTAAGTTCTTAGGGTGCCTTCTATGTGTAAACTTAATTGATAAACTAAAATCACAGTAAACACAGCATGTTTATGTGTACCATCCTGGCATAAATGAGTAAAAAAAAAAAAAAAATTAAAGTGCATCATTTCATATTAATTTACAATAGGCTTACTGCAATGATGCCTTTCACATCCCAATGAATCCTAAGTCTAGGCTGTTAGGCAACTTACCATATCATCTGGAGAGCATCCTCGTGAAGATAGTGTGACCTTTGTCTGATGACCTTTCTTTAACCATTTTTCAACATTATGGAGTTTTGACATCAGGTCATGCTCAGCAATCTTTCCAGAAATGGTTAATATCTTCTCCCCCTGTTGAAGGAAATAAGCTATAAAAAAAGTAATACTAAATAAATTCAATAGTAAAACAATACTGGATACAAAGTAATAGATAAGTTCATTTAAAAAATGTGAATACAAGATATACCAGTAAATGAAACTCAGATCCAGAAATTGACATAAATCAGGAGTTGAATGTCTTAATTACCAATATATTCTGCAAGAATACCATTTGCATTCATAAAGTCCTAAAAATAGATAGATAGATAAATAAATAAATAAAAACATAAGAACAGTAAAAACATAAGCAAAGAACAGTAATGACAAAACCCATGCATTCACCTTCATTCCAGTTGTGGTCTTCACATCTTTCTTCGCTCGGACTTCCTCCTCAAAGTACTGCTTCCCTGTCATCAGTTTGTACACTTGCTTCC